GAGAGCAATAACTTCCTTTAGCGTTATACTTAGCCTTAGATAAAGACTTGGATACAGAAATAGACTTATTGTTGATTCAAGAGACAAGATTGTTTCCCAAGAAGAAATGTCCTCCATTAACAATATCTTAATCAAACTTGATCTTGAAAATCCATTTTTGGGCAAAAGCTCTACTCCGAAATTCACCAGGATTAGATATTTCATCTCTGAATCTATTGGTGATCACAAACTCCAAAAAAAAGAACTCTAAATAATAAACTCCAAATAATGAACTCCCTTGAATAAGTTTTCTAAATTATAGAGAAAACTTGTTGGCTTGAGAGATCTCTAATTCAGTGACTGCTAGATCTTTAGAGTCTTCCTCTCTTTCTAAAGTTTCAATCTGCTGAGATGATGTTCCAACATCTGCTTGGACATCAGTCCCCTTCTCAAATATTAAACCTTTATCTTTGGTTATGGAGTGAACATCCATAAGTTTTGTTATCAGCAGAGTAACCCAGAAACATCCCATGTTCTCTTTAAAAGAGTTTATAAAGGCCTTTAGTTGACTTCAAATTTTTTATTTCTCTTTGCTAAAGAATATCCAGGTCAATTTAGAAAAATCATCAACCACCACATAGACATTCCTCTATCAACCAAGACTCTCACTTTGCATTGGCCTCATTAGATCCATAAAAGTAAGTTCTACAACTTTGTCAAAAGTCTGATGTTGCAACTTCTGGTGTGACATCTTGACTTCATCCTCCTAGGGCATAAGGCAAGTAGTTTCTGGTGGTACCCACAAAAATCAATTAACTTTGGACCTAACATCTTCATCAGAACTACATTCTTCTCATTAGTGACCAAAACATTCTCCCTTGATGGGATTTACCTTCAGAACTTGATCACATAACTAACTTATGATTATCATATTAGTTGTCAGAATTTTAATAAAGGGAACATCATTAAGACTAGGGAATCTTGTATAATCCAGTTATCCAACACCCTAAATATTATATTTGGAACCATCACCAAAAGTAACAAAAACTGGTAGAATGAAACTTAACAATACCAGAAACTTCTTTACTCCAATCATATGACTGAAAAACCAATGTCAAAATGCCAATCTTCTTTGATGGAGTTCCAAGAGAGGTATGATCAATAAGCAATTAACACCTTCTTTGAGATATAACCATTACTTGTATATTCTTAGGCTGAGTTGGACCTTGGGAGAGCCAACAATTTGAAACAAAACAAAATGCCTTATATGACCAACAATACCACATAAGTGACATCTTCAGTGCAATTAAATGTCTTTAGCTTGAGAATTATGATGTCTTGCACGATGTTGAGACATTTTGTTTGACACCATTAACTCAGCCTACCTTTTGATGGGAACAAGTTTGTCACTTAAGATTTTCTTTGCTTGTTAGAGCCTTGATAATCAAACCCTATCCCTTTTAGGCTTCCAGTCATCTTCCCAATTTGAAGAAACTCATCCACCGTATCAGAACCATTGTTTAACATCCTCACAGACTTGATCATGATATCAAGTTTAGAGGTCAATAAAGTCACCTCATCCTACAGGTTATAGATGATGGACAAACATCCTTCCTTTTTATTATGTAGTTGAGAAATAATTACCTTCTATTTTTCTCTTTGTTGACAGACTTCTTCACTTTTGATGCATAATTCTTTGTAAGAAGCAGCCATCACCTTCTTGTCTTGATCAAGATCACTTCCCTCATCAGAACAAGAAATAGAAAGTCCCTTCAGATGGTTCTTGAGATAGGTAGGGTATTCTGCTCTAAAAAGTTCAAAGCCTTCACATCCAATTTACTGAATGCTTGACATTGATTGACCTTTACTTCTGATCTAGCTTTTCTTTGATCACATAGATCTAGCTGAAGTTAAGATTAATGTTCTTGACATTTGGCCTTGACCTTCTATACACTCTCCTTAGAACCTGGTTGAATTGCCTTCCAATAACACTTAAACATTAGATAACCCTTCATCAAATTCCAGGGCACATTGCTCCTCTTTATCAACAGAGTTGGAGACAAAAGCTATGCTCTTATTCTTCTATTCAGATCTTTCATTTTAGTCAACTCAAAACTTTTGAGAGACACAAAAAACTATTTTGTTGTTGATATCCTGAGCTTCTTCAATGGATGATACCTTTATGTCAAATCTCTTGGGTAGAGACCTGGGTATCTTCTTCCTGACCAGCCTTTCTCCTGAATTCTTTGATGTGACTTCATGAGCAGTCTTGAGAAATTTCCAAACACCTTTGACCATAACACATGTGTTCATCAGATTAAAGATGACACTCAACACTTTAGAGTTACCAAAATTCAACTCATATAATTCCTTAGACCAATCCTCTTCTGGCCTCAACTTACATTCCCCTCCTTTATCTTTAACAACATGATTCTCCCAACCTAACAAATTTCCAAGTTTAGATGTCCATTGATTTCAAGAATGCTACCATTCAAGCCTTCCAAAAGATAAATAGTACCAGAAAAATCTCCCTGAAGCTCACCCAATAAACAGACTAGGGTGTCTGCTCTGATGCCAATTGAAATTCTGACTCTCAAAACATGATAATACTTATGTCCCAACATCAGAATACAATATCAAGACAGATATTATGACATCTAGTGACAGACAGAACAAATATATCAAAATTGTAACCTATGCAGAAATAAATTGTAGAATGATAACTAACACAACTGATTGTTAACCCAGTTTGGTGCAACGTCATCTTCTCTGGAGGCTACCAAGTCAGGAAGGAAATTCACTATGATGGTATTAGTTCAAAGTCTAAACAATCTCACTTTATAACTTATCGCCTAATCCCTACCTTGTGCAACTTCTATCTAGACACCTCTAGATATGAGATTCCCCTCTCACTTCCCACAATCACTTCAGTGATAAATACAACCACAAACCAGTGACTAGAATCAAAATAAAAAAATTACAGTTTCAATAAACAAATACGCAACTCTTTGCTTAAAAGCTCATGAGTGAGAATAATACTTAGTTTTGCTTAAAAGCTTTTAACTAAGAACAATAATTTGATACACAATCAACTCTTTGCTTAAGATCACATGAGTGATTGCCAAGTAACAATCAATAATCTGTATACCACAATGTATCAAAAGATACAAGGGAGACTTACAAAAAAAACACAAGAGACTCTCAAAACCTAAGACTCTAAACTTCCCCTAATTTTACAAAATTGTGAAAGGCAAATTAGATTAGGTTTAGGTTTCTCTTTATATACTCCTCAGCAGCCCATGTGCTTCAAAATCTTCACCCAAATATTTCTCGATCCACAAGCTGACGGTTGCACCAATTATGTAAAAAAAAATCTTCTTAAATCTTGGAACAAATCATTAAGTTTCCTAAATGGTCTCAATATCCAATTTTAGAAACATATGTACAATTAGAGATCAAATCAGTTCTTCCAGATTAAATCTTCTTGACCTGCACAAATATCTGTGGTTTATCCAAAAGGAATCTCACAGAGTCAAATCAAATCGTCAAGAATTAAAACAGCCTATCCTAATGTTCTAGTATAACATATCACAACATCTGTCAAAAATACTAATAATAGACCCGATTGTACCAGTTGGTCAAGATATCATGACTTCTTGCTCAACATCTGCTATAAATCAAGTTTTACCAAAATTTAGACCAATCATAAAATTATAGAACTAACTAATATATATATATATATATATATATATATATATATATATATATATATATATATATATATATATATATATATATATATATATATATATATATATATATATATATATATATATATATATATATATATATATATATATATATATATATATATATATATATATATATATATATATATATATATATATATATATATATATATATATATATATATATATATATATATATATATATATATATATATATATATATATATATATATATATATATATATATATATATATATATATATATATATATATATATATATATATATATATATATATATATATATATATATATATATATATATATATATATATATATATATATATATATATATATATATATATATATATATATATATATATATATATAATTTAGTTTTATTTATTTATTTTTTACTATTTTATGTGTTTTTAATTCTTACTTTGTAATGTTAATTTTAATAAATTACATGTTATATATTATATTATTTTTATAATGGAAAATTTTTTTTTTTTATAACATAGATATAAATCCAACTAAATTAAACCGAATTTTATTGAAAGGTGTATTCGTATTTAATGTAGAAACTTTTTAAATATTATTACTTATTTGAGAATTTAGAGTAACCATAATAGAGTTCTATCTATATATATTAATACATGAGTACAAAACATGAGTTTCAAATAATGAAATTTTATAGAATTTAAGCATGTTTAATATAAGAACATTACATATACACCGTCTGTACTACATCTATAATTTTGTCAGAAAATAATAATTCATGTCAAAAGTTTAACATTGCTACTTTGCTACTTCTTACTCAAAATGGTCAAAGGTTACTTTTCTGACCACTCACGTTTAACATTTTTGAACTTATAAATAAAGCCAAATATTTCTTTCACGTTCACATCAAATATAGTACATCTGTTACCTATTTCATCATGGAAAAACTTGTGCTGTTTTATTTATGAACCTCCAATGTTTGAGAAATGATGACTTTTTTCAGAAATTTGTCATAGCACATTAACTGGTAAATGGTCTTGAAGAAAGAAAAAGTACTGCAGTAATTTTCCAAAGACTTATTATCTCATAGTCTCATTTACAAAGTCTCCATAAACAATTGTGAAAGTTGTCTTTTTCAATCACTGCTTTATCTTAAATATTCGACGAAAATTACTCGGATATATAAAATAAGAACAAAACAAACTTCTCAAGGAGTACTATTATGCAGAAGCATCTACTTAATTTCAATACAAATTGGAATCTCCTTTCCTTCAGGGTTTAGTCAATGCCATAGATCGTGCTCGAAGGTTCATGAATATTCCCCTGAAATAAAATAGACATCCAATGAATGATCTCATTTAATTTGTTTACCGGAAGAATGACAATTGAGCATGTTTATCTGCAACAACTATTTGCAAAGCACACAAACCACCAACCAAACACATTTATGAAGTTAAGGAAAGTTGAGAGAAAGACAAGAGGGAAAAAAAAAGGCGTACCAGCAAATTCCTATTAAATTGTTGAAAACAACACGGAAATGAAGAGGTATGAATTTGTAATTTATCAACCCAACAGCAGATCCGAACTGTAGTTCAATTCATTCAAGATCTTAAAGTCAAAAACGATAAAGTAAATTCTGTTTGAAACTAATGTTGTAATACAAGATTACCATCCATGAAGCATATTGCACCGATGGATAACCCTTCTTCACACTAGCTTTCACATGCACCCAAGGTTGGCCTGCAGTCCACATTTTTATTATAAGCATAACTACCAATAAGGCATGCCATTTTGCACATAAAAGTGCGAATCGGATAAACATGAGACCAATCGTATTCAAAATGAGATTAATCTTGATGCATTGTTTGTGCAAAACATTTTACACTGCCAAATAATCAGAGTCCATCTTTTATATGGCTTTTAATATACATAGATTAAAATTAATTTTTTCAAAGACCAGTAATTTAAGTCGAGTCAAGTCGAGTTGACCCGATTATGGAGGTCTCATATTGACTACAGAACTTACTTAAATAAAATTGAGTTTCTCACAACTCAGATATGCAAGTTTATGTCCACACATCATTTTAGGATACCAATGTCGTTGGGTTGAGTACCCTATTTTTGACAGTACTGATGACAATTATTTTATTTTTGTCCATATTTTCCATGTGTATTGACTTCGTCTATGTCCATGGTCCTTCAGTATATAAATGAAAAAGTATGATGTTGAAAAATGACAAACCTTCAATAACTAATCCGTAGTAAATCATGAAAATCAAATTGTTCAAAGGAGAAGATATCAATTCGTCAATCAGAACCTGAAAAAAGAAAATCAAACAAAGAAGACTTCTTTAAAAATGGCAAGCTATTTCTCATGATAGTTGCAGTTAATAAAAACAAAAGGTTTTGCAATATCACCTTCTTTGCCACAGTTTTTGAATCTTTCTTTCCTTTGAAAATCTTTTCCAGTATTATATCAAAGTAATGTCCAAAGGGTCCAAAATAAGCGGCTCCAATAAACTGCATGCAATTAAATATTTATATGATTCCTATAATGCATATAGGTAGTATAAAACCACAAAAGACACTAGACAAAGATTGAAAAACAAAATTGAAAAAAGGTAACTTACCACTTTGAGAAAAAGTCGTTTCAATTGAAGTTTCCGAATCCCAGTAAGCTTCTGAGACACTATGTCATTGATCCCCATCAACACCCCTGCAGTAATTGACTATATAACCTCCCATTGAAACATAGGAAAATTAGGGAAAAGTTGATAAATAAACTGAATCAAACAAAACCAAACAACAATAAGAAAGAAGATGATGAACCTTAGTTCTCAAAGGATGTTCCTGAAGCTGTTTGACGTAATTGTTGAGTCCATTCTTTGCTACAGATCCCATCTTCCTCGCTTGGTTTGACCGAAATAGTGTGTACTGGCATTGCGTCGGTGCTTGTTTAGTTCAAGCAAATAACAATGGTAATTACAATTATTTAAATGTGTGGTATAATATGTTGAAAGTTATTCTTTCTTGATGAAATAGTTTGTTCGACAGAGACAAGGGAGTGTTGAAGTAGATGTGTCAAAAATGCTACACACAGATTTGATTTGTTTTAGATTTAGATAAATTTGATTTAGATCTAAAATAGATAGATTTGATTTAGTAACAAAATAAATATTTTGGCCTTTTATAGTTTTAAGTTTTGGCTTATGAGCAAGCTAACCTAAATCTATAAATAGAGAGAGCAACCCTAATTTTTTAATTTAAGTCAATTCATTATAATCACAAAATTTGCAGTTGTAAGTGATTAATAAAGTTTTCCACAGTTTGTGGACAGAGAGAAATTCTGCAGAAAATAATTGTCTTCTTTCTTTTCTTTTCTCATAATTCATTGTCATTGTGTGGTGATATCAATCTTGTTCATCAAGATTGATAGAAATTCATCATAGATATTTGGTGGATTTCCAACATCTGGTATCCAGAGCTCGATTAATCGATTCAAGGGAAGTATCGATCAATAGTGATTGAGAAAGAAGAAAAATTTACGATGGCGAGTTATGGGAATGGAAATTATCCAGCAACTCTACCAATTTTGAAAATAGACAACTATGAGAATTTGTACAAACAGATGAATGTTTTATTCAGGTGTCAAGGTCTTTGGGATCTTGTAAAGGATGGATTAGAAGCGTTTGGAGAAAATGTTTCAGAAGAAGAAAAGAAGAAACACACAGAATCTGAGAAGCTGAGTTAGAAAGCACTCTTTATAATTCATCAATGTCTGAGTCTAGAAAATTTTGAAAAAGTGAGTGATTCAGAATCTGCAAAAGCAGCTTGGGAGGTTCTTGAGAAGTCTTTTGGTGGTGCAGAAAAGGTGAGAGAAGTGAGGTTACAAACTCACAAGAAAACGTATGAATTGCTTCAGATGGAAGATAGTGAGAGCATATCTGATTTTTTCACTAGGGTTACAAAACTAGTGAATCAAATCAAGGTATGTGGAGAAACATTAACAACAAGAGCTGTTGTTTCGAAGATCTTGAGATCTTTGGCTCCTAAGTTCGACCACGTGGTGGTGGCTATAGAAGAGGGAAAAGTCTTTTCGAAATTGACAAAGGAAGAGCTTCAAGAGACGCTTGAATCTCATGAACAAAGAATGACTGAAAGAGTTACAGGCAAGTCGAAGAGTGATGTGGCTTTGCAGGCACATTCAGCAAAAGAAACCAAAGGCAAAGGGAAGTGGTTCGACAGAGATAGAAGCGGCTACAACAAATCGACTGGTAGAGGAAACCAGAACGAAGGAAACGTGTCGAATAAGAGAAGACCATAGCAAGACAACCAAAGAGGTGGTGTTGCAAATAGATGAAGAGGTGGTGGTTGAAAACCTGATAAGAGTCACATTCAATGTTATAATTGTCATAAGTATGGTCACTATTCGAGTGATTTTCTAGAAAAGCGAAATAATCAAGAAAGTGATGCAAAGTTTGCAAAACATGAAGAAGAAGAGATGATGTTGATGGTCACAACAAGAGATGAAGATATATTCAAGGACCAATGGTACTTGGATCCAGGATGCTCATCACATATGTCTGGAAGGAATGATTGGTTTGTCAACATAAAAGCCTCAATGAAAAATATGGTAAAATTCGCAAATGACAATACCCTAACAACTGAAGGTATTAGTGATGTTATGATTATGAGGAAAGATGAAAAGAGGCCAGTAATTTCTAATGTGTTGTACATACCAAATATGAAGAGCAATTTGCTCAGTATAAGACAGTTGGTCGAAAAGAATTATAAAGTGTCAATTAAATATAAGATGATGAGAGTAGTCGACGTAAATGGAAGATTAATCTTGAAGGCTCCTATGTCTCAGAATAGAACCTTCAAGATCAAACTAAATATGATGGAGCACAAGTGTCTTTCGACTGCAGCTAGCAGAGATGAATGGATATCGCATTATCGACTAGGTCATCTCAAATTCAGAGACATCAGAGATTTAAAGAGAAGAAATATGGTTTCAGGATTGCCAGAAATTGACATTCCAAATGAGGTATGTAAGGAATGTGTGCAGGAGAAGCAACACAAGAATAGCTTCAGCAAGGATGCAGGAAGCATGTCGAAGGTTATTCTTGAAGTCATATACTCTGATGTATATGGACCAATCTAGGTGGATTCAATGGGAGGTACCAAATACTTTGTTACATTCATAGATGATTTCAGTCGAAAGTTGTGGACTTACCTGATCAAGAAGAAAAGTGAAGTGATCGAGGTATTTGTCAAGTTTAAGTCTATGGTCGAAAGACAAAGTGGTCAAAAACTCAAAGTTTTGAGAATTGATGATGGTGGAGAGTATGTGTCGAAAGACTTCGACAGGTTATGTGAAAATGAAGGGATTGTGCATGAGGTGGTGCCACCCTATACTCCACAGCATAATAGAACTGTAGAAAGGAAGAATCGAACCATCATGAATATGGTGAGAAGTATGTTGAAAGGCAAGAATTTACCTAAAGAGTTTTGGGGTGAAGTTGTATCGACTGCAATATACATTTTGAACTTATGTCCTACGAAGAATCTAGAAGGAATTACTCTATAAGAATGTTGGTCTGGTATGAAGCCTAGCTTGAGTCATCTGAAGGTATTTAAATCTATTGCATATAGACATGTGTTAGTTCAGTTGAGAAGAAAACTTGATGACAAGTCGAGTCAAATGATTCTAGTTGGATATCATTCGACAGGAGGTTACAAGTTGTTCGGCCCGGTGAACAAGCAGATTCTAATCAGCAGGGACATGATCATAGATGAGCTTAAAGAATGAGATTGGACTGAAAATGTCAAGAAAGATTTAGTTGGAATCCTACTTGAAGAACCAGAAACTCAAGTCGAAAGAGAAGTTCGACAAGAGGAATCAACAATTATAAATCAACCAAGTACAAGCAGACCTCAAAGAACAAAATGCATGCCTGTAAGATTGCAAGATTGTGTGATTACATCAAATGATGTGATGGATAATGAAGGTGAGTTGGTACATTATGCTTTCTATGCAGATGTCGAACCTGTCAATGCAGCTGAAGCATTGAAGGATTCGAAGTGGGTGAAAGTAATGAACGAAGAAGTGAAGTCTATCGAAGACAACAACACTTGATCACTTGTAAAATTGCCTCAAGGAAAGAAGGCAATTGATGTCAAGTGGGTATAAAAATTGAAAAGGAATTCCAAAGGGAAAGTAACTCGACACAAAGCAAGGCTTGTGGCGAAAGGATTTCTACAGAAAGAAGGAATAGACTTTGATGAAGTTTTTGCACCTGTTGTTAGGATCAAAACAATCAGGTCAGTTATTGGTCTAGTAGAAATAAACAGATGGCACATATGTCAGATGGACATGAAGTTTTCATTCTTAAATGGACCCTTAGATGGAGAAGTTTATGTTAAACAACCAGTTGGGTTTGTGAAACATGACGAAGAGAGAAAGGTGTACATGCTGCATAAATCCTTGTATGGATTGATACAAGCCCAAGAGCTTGGAATAAGAAAATTCATAGTTTCCTAAGGGAGAAGTAATTTATGAAGTGCACAACTGAACATGGAGTATATGTAAGAAGAAGCAATAGTAAATTGCTTATACTATGTCTCTATGTTGATGATTTGTTGATAACAAGTAGCTGCAAAAGTGAGATCAAAGACTTCAAAGGTGATCTCTGCAAGGAATTCTAAATGTCTGATCTGGGTGAGATTTCATATTTCCTTGGTATTGAATTATACAAGAGCCGCAGAGGTTTGATAATGCATCAAAGAAGATATACAGAAGAAATTCTTAAGAGATTTTAGATGGAAGAATGCAACTCAACTTCGACACCTGCAGAAACAAGACTGCAAGTGTCGAAAGATGCAGATGAAGATGATGTCGACCCAACCCAATACAGAAGACTTATTGGGTTATTGAGATACCTTTGTCATACAAGGCCTGACTTAGCATATAGTGTATGTATGGTAAGCAGATTCATGTAGAAGCCAAAGGTATCACATCTAACAGCGGTGAAGAGGATACTAAGGTATCTCAAAGGAACTCTCGACTATGGCATTTTGTTTCTTACAGGTGATAAAGGAAAAGAATGCAAGTTAGTGGGATACACTGATTCAAGTTGGTGTAGTGATGATGAAGATCGAAAATCAACAACATGATATATGTTTATGTTAGGTGGTGCACCAGTTGCTTGGAGTTCAAGAAAGGAACCAGTAGTGGCATTATCATCATGCGAAGCAGAATACATAGTTGCATCTCTTTGTGCATGTCAAGCAACTTGGATGGTGAACTTGGTCAAAGAGATGACATGGAAAGATCATAGAGCAATTACCATGAAGATCGAGAGCATGCCATCTATCAATCTGGCGAAGAACCCGATAGCACATGGTGGAAGCAAGCACATCGAAATGAGGCTCCACTATCTCCAAGAGCAGGTAGCAGATGAGAAGATGAATTTAGAATACTGTAGAACTGAGAATCAGATTGCAGACATCATGACATATGTTGTGTAGGTCGAAGTATTTCGAAGACTAAGAGCTATGATGAATGTAGATAGCTTGGACACAATGAATTAGGCGGTGTGTTGAAAGTAATTCATTGTGTCGAAGCAGTTTGCTCGACAGAGACAAGGGAGTGTCGAAGTAGGTGTGTCAAAAATGCTACACACAAATTTGATTTGTTTTAGATTTAGATAGATTTGATTTAGATCTAAAATAGATAGATTTGATTTAGTACCAAAATAGGTATTTTGGGATTTTATAGTTTTTGGTTTTGGCTTAGGAGAAAGCCAACCTAAATCTATAAATAGAGGGAGTAACTCCTAATTTTGTAATTTAAGTCAATTTATTGTAATCACAGAATTTGCAGTTGCAAGTGATTAATA